CAAATAAATAAAATCTTTTAAAAAAATAAATAAAATAAAATAAAATTCATAAATAAAAGAAAATAGGCTAATTACCTTTTGCCTTCATACCATGATCACAGTCCTGTAAGATTTTCAGGTCTTTAGTATGGAAAGCCTATTTTCATTTATCACAGTTGCTTCTTCGTGAGTCATGATCTCCAGCCAATTAGACATTTGTTTTATTTAGGTTGATGAATGTCAATTAAGCAACACAAGCCAGTATTTAAAATCATAATTCCCTATTAGAAACTATTAAATTAAAAATTCAATGCACATTTCAACTATACAATTAAATACAAATTCAACTGTATGTAAGTTTACCACATAATTACATTACTGTCTGCTCTACTAGGAAAACATTTTAAAGGTTAGATTTCCCATTAGCAAGACTTAGTCTGACATTACTGTGCTAGATCAGAAGCCACTTTCAAAGTATACTTTACTGAAAATGTATAGTTGATTAGCTCTACAAATTAAGTAGTAAGAGACCACAGTACGAATCTATGCTATATATCCACAGTAAATGTGGGTATATTTGGCCAGGCATGATGGCAGCTGGGTGATGGGGAAAAGATTGCCTTCTCTAGCCACAGGTCCCCAAATATCTCATACATGAGTTTAGCTGACAACTGGGACCCCAGTAAGCACCACAAATACGGTCATCCTGTCTGTCTTGTTCACTGCTCTATCCCCAACATCTAACATTGAGCCTGACATATGTATTTAGTAAAATATTTGTTGGACCAAACCATCCTCCCAAACAACTGGGAAACAATGAATACTGTTTGGTCTCTCCGAGACAATGTACCTGATTAAAAGGAGGTTATTCTCTTCCAGGATGGAGTTGTACACGTAAGATTAATCAAAAGACACTGGTCTGAGAATTGAATGAGGCAAGGTATTAGTGATCATGGGGATTAATTTCCTGGTCTGAAGCCTTGAAAACAAAAACAAAAACAAAAAACAAGGAATTTTATTTATACCAGACTTCACTAGAAGAAGTTTTAATCAATTATGATTCTAAAAGTTTTTTTTAACTTTACTTATAATGTGATTTTCACTAATGCCCTATTTTTCCCCCATTCACTTTCCAAATAATACATTTTAGATTTAATGCCTTAAAAATGGTTCTTATACTGTAACAAGAATGTGATAGCAGTAACCTTCCTAAGGGAGCTCCCAGTATCTTTTTCCATGTCACAGAAGTTTATTTGTAGGAGTCTACGCAAAACAGCTGTAATCATTTCTAAGGCTTGACAAAATCATCTATACCATCATTAAATGTTCCAGAAACTTAATGGATACAAGTATGTGTCATCCATCACACAAAATAAAGAAGGAAAAGAAAAAAGCAACACACATGAACAATTTAGGCAATAAAATTTAAAAATAAGAAAAGTAAATTCAAAGTTAATTCAGAATTATAATATGGATTATCAGACATTTTTATAAATGTGCTTTTCAGGGTCTATAAAAATAATGTAATATCCATACTTAACTTGCCTATTATTCTAAACTTACTCACTTTCCTAAAATTTGAGGATAAAACAACTTCCCTGTTTCAATTCTTAATATAGGACTATACAGAGTTCTTCAATGGCTTTTCCAATAGTTGGGAAAAGGTGGCAGTTGGCCAAGGCCTAGTATCTTAAAAATTAGAAACTCCAGACTATTCTGTGCTCCCTACCAAGTGACTTTCTCACACCCACCCCGCTCCTCAGAGTATACCAGGGAAAGCAATTTTTTTCAGAAAGGTCTCACAATAGATGCAGAAACAAAAAAAAATAGAGGATGCTAAGTTATTAAGGCCATTATTTTTATTATTTTGCAGTGAGAATAATGTTTATTGAGAATGGCTCATTACAAACAAAATATATATATATGTATATGTATATATATACACATATATAATTATGCATATATATGTAGAAAATCTCTGCAATGCAAAAGATCCCTTTTGTCCCTGTGCGGCTGGAGTGAATAAAACCAAGTGTCCAGTGTGGCTTTGCTGGGCCCCCAGCATGTGGACAGGGGTCATGGGTGCCACGTGCTATGGGCAGAAGTTCCTGAAGTCTGGGCTTTCTCCAGCCTTGTGTTCAGGACGTGTGCAAGAATGCCTTTACATTTGCTTTCCACCCCCATGACCCCCCCAGGCAGATGGCACCGTCTCAGGCACAGGTAGCTTTCTTGTTAATCTTCCAGATGGGTGACCTCCAACTTGTGGCTTGCCCAGGGACTGACTGTTTCTACATGCCGTGTGATGGACTGAGGTGCCGTGACCGCTCTGTGGAGGCTGCTCCCTGTCATCCAAAGCCTCACTTCCTCATTGCTTTCCTTTTTCCTTGATGCGTCTATTCTCACCACAGTTTGAGCCAGATCCTTCCTGAGGGTGCCCAAACCCCACAGCTGCCACACGTGGTATTCTTGGGCGTGAAACTGGAGCTCCCTGGGGATCTTGGGCCACCCAACATTAAGGCAAAAGAGAGAAGACCAGTCTGAAGACACCGCTAGTCCCTGAAACCAGGGTGGCTAACCTGGCAGCTAACCAGCTAACAGTGCCTCCCTCTGGGCCGAAGGCTGCATCTGGTGTTGAGGAGCAATACGGCTGGATGGTCTGACAGCCCTCGTAAGCAGAGCCCACCTCTGCCCCTCAGAGCAGCCATGGTGGGGAGGTGTCAGCCGGCTGGTGGGAACAGACGCTGGGCATGGTTTGCAGTCCAGAGGGTAGCAGCTACCACCGTGACATGCCTTGGGCAACAGACCAAGACACAGGGGTACAGGGGCAGTGTGGCTGCTGGGACAGCCCTGCTCCTTTGCCAGGGACAGCTCATGAGGGGTGGGTGTCCTTGGCCCCTTTGGGAATGATCCAGTTCCCTTAGCTTTTAGGTGCAGACCTGGGTTCGAGACCCAACCCCACCACTGTCCTGGACAAACTGCCCCCAGACTGATGGCCAGTTTTTGTCTGTAAGGTGAGGGGCCCTGGCTCTCAGCCCGCCAGCCCTGAGTCCCTTTTTCTTTGGAAGAGAACTTGGGCTGGCTTATCTGCTCTGTGAAGAGAGGTGTCAGTGGTTCCAAAGTACCTGCAATCTCACTATTATTGTCTTACTTGAGGGTGACTCTCACTCCCAAGTGAAAAACTTAAATTGCAAACAAAACAAACAAACAAACAAAACAACCCCCTACCCCCACCAAGAAAGAAGGAAACAGCTCTAGTCCATGCTACGTGCAGTGCTATGTGACCCTGGGCAGGTACCACCCTTCTCTGTCAGGACAGAAGAGACCCAATATTCTGTGCAAAAGGTCTTGGCATGAGGATTAGGGTGGGTGGGAGGCCACAGGCTGTCTCCCACCATTGCCTCAGGAGTGCAGGCCCCAGCACCCCAGCACCCAGGCCTGTGAGGCCTGGGGCCCCCCACACCCAGAGAATGGGCCCACTGTCGGGGCTTAGGCTAGTGTTAGGAAGGCTCACAGGTTGGGGGGACCTGTGGGACCCAGGTGACCGCGCCTGGCCCTCCAGGTCAGGCATTCTTGGAGTACACTCAGCACTGCTAGCTAGCAAGAGCCAGGGCCCTGTCTACTCCCAAGGGCCCTCCAAACTACAGTGCTATAGTACCTGCAGGCTGGGGGTGGGGGGAGGGCTCAGCATCCTTTCGGCCTGAGGCCCAGCCCTCCCCAGGGCCCGGAGGCCTTGCAACCAGCCACAGGAACTTGGGTCCACTGGGAGGTGAGAGGGAGTGGCGGCATCCACCAAAGGGCACAGGGAGGTCTATAGCACTTCTGGGGGGGGGGGAGGGCAGTTCCCAGCAAGGCCTGGAGTAGTCTACAGCCCTGGGGGCCGGGGTTGGCTACATGGTCTCCAAACACATGGACACCATCCTGACGAGTGGCATCTCCAGGGCTCAACCCCCAGGTCTGTGGGGAGACGAGCTCAGGCTTCTCCCCTGCCCTGGGTCTGGTTCACAGGCAACAAGGGCACCCAGAGGGCTGGAAGTCCTCTGGGCATGGTTCAAGTCAGGCTTGGGGTCCTAGGGGAGGCTTTACTCAGATGCTCTGGGGATGCCTCCAGCAACCAGCAGGTGCGTAGGCTAAGTGGCATGACGACACGCATGACGCTGGCAGACAAAGCACGCATGCCTCAGGCTCTAAGAATTCCCTGGGGCTTTGTCACACGGGTCAAGGCTGCAGTTCCGCATCCAAGCCCCAGCAGCTCGGGGCCTGGGCCAAGGCCTCCTGAGTTGGGCTAGCCGGGCTAGGGTGGGGCAGGGTGTGAGGGCCTGGGCACACCAGGCTCCCGCTGTCAGCTGTCCAAGTAGACAAAGAGGATGTCCTCATCTGTGCCATAACTGGTTCTGGCTTCCTCGAAGTTACTGATGCTGGTGCTGCACATTCCTGCTGGGGGCAGGAAGGGCAGAGTGGGGTCAGAGGGTGGGGGAGTATACCTGCCTCACTGACACTCGGGGGAGCTGGGGGAGGGTCTGGCCATGTCCCACCTGCCTGGCCACCCTCTGCCACTCGTCTTCCACCCACAGGAAGCTTTCCTTGCCTACTTTAGCCTTCATGAACTCATTCTCTGACCCCCGCCCCCCCGCAGTTTAGCAGATGGAGGTGAGGCCCAGAGGAGAAGAAACATGCTTAAGGACACATGGGGTAAGTCTGCTAGAGTCGGGGCAGTACTTCCCAGTCCCCAGGGTGGTGGGGAGCCCTTGCTGCATCTGGAGCAGGAGCTGGGACTGGGCGGACTTTCCTTTCTGATGAGTGTGCTTGCTGGCCGTCCTGGGAAGGCTGCAGTGAGGGAGCTGGGCGGGGAGGAAACTGCAGAATAAGAGTGAGGTGGGCCCCCGGGCAGTGGTGTAGGGCTGGTGGTGTGGGAGGGACAGATGGCCGAACCTGGTATTAGGTCAGGTGTCAGGTGTGTGGCTAGTCTATGCATGGCCAGAGGAGTGGCACAGATGACAGGAGCCCAGGAGGAGCCGAGGCTTTGGGGAAAGGCAGCGAGGGAAGTCTTGGCCACCGGGCCGAATGAGGAGGTGTCACGGGGCCTGGACGGTGAATGCAGCCTGCCCCACCCACTGTCCCCAGCCAGCCCAGCACTCACGGTCAGCGTAGGCTGGATTGTTGTAGAAGATGCAGCCAGTGGCCCGGTTGTAGCCACGTAGCACGATGAAGTGGCCTTGGTAGTCGGGGGTGCGGCAGAAGCAGCGGTGGCCACTGGGGGCGAAGCAGCAGTACTTGACGGGACTGGAACAGAGGTCGCAGTGCAGTACCCCAGAGTTCACCAGCACAATGGCCACGTGGCCCTGGGCCAGGTGCTCCTGGATGTCCTGCACACTCACTGTGCTGTGGGCAGGAGGAGGGTCAGCTCGTGCCACTGGGCCCCATTCCCCATCTCTCAAGTGGACCCCTGCCTGGATCACAAAGCTTGGGGCCTCGGCTCATCTGCTCTCCCTCCTGAGCTCCTTGCAGGTGGGAACATCCTGCTTTGTCACTGTGGCCTGGGCTCAGCCCAGGATTAAGCATGGGACCAGTGCCTGGGGGCAGAAGGGCTCTGAGTATGCCCAAGGACAAGCTGGCCCTGTCAGGTCCTTCCAGGGGTGGCAGGAAGTTGGCTCCAGAGGGGCCCCTGTCACGGGCCACTGAAGCAGCACATGGGACCCCACCTCCCGGCCTGGCTGGTGAATTTTTCTTTTTTTTTTTTTTTTTTTTTGCTGAGCACCTTCCTTGGTCATTTACCCTATATCACATGCGGTTTATGCTGGAAGCTGTCAGTCCAATTTAATCCCCCAAATCTGAGCCAAGCGTGGCTTCGTCAGTTTCAAAACCACATGCTTCTCTGAAAAGACTAGTTTTCTTTTTTTTCTCAAAGGCTCCCAAGGCAGAAGGGGTTGTCCGGGAAGGGGCGGGTCAGCAGTGCTTCCAGGGGATCCCTAGTTCTGCAGAGTCAGCTGTTCCCTAAGGCAGACTCTTAGGCACGGCCCCATTCAATGCCCCCACAGAAAGCAGCAAACTAAGATTTCTTCAAACTAAGAATCCAGAACGGGCGAGGGGCTGTGAGGTAGTGGGACCCTAAGCGAGGGGCCTCCTTCCTCCACAGTCTCGTCAGGAGCGACAGCATTGGCACACCGTGGCCGGGCCCAACTCCAGCCCATGGCCAAGTCATGTGGCAGTCTGGTTTGGTTGCCTCAGCCCAGGGAAACAGGCCATTTTTCCACTTGGTCTTTGAAATGATATAGCTGTCTGAGTTCCCAATGGTATGTACGAGCATGGGATTTCAACTACAGGGGAAAAGCGGGGGCTGGGCCGGAAGGAAAAGCACCATGCTCCGTGGAATAACAGGGTGCAGAGTGCCAGGTTTGGATCACAGCATGGCCAAGCTGCCGGCGGTGACTTTGGGCCCCCTCACACTATTTTCCCATGGGACAGCACCAGCTCCCACTCAACAAGACAGCACGGGGCACGCGCCACTAAACGAACATTGGGTGCCTTTCCTCCCAACATGTGCTCGTGCGGTGGACGGATGCGTGGAGACTTTTCCTGTTTTCCTAACTACCTATCGTGTGGTAACATGATGTTAACAGTGAAAACAGAAGTCATTCAAGAACAGGGAGACCTGAGCAGAGTGGTCTAGGGTAGCCCAGTGGGGATCTAAGCTAATGCACCTGAGCCTGGAGAAGAAAGTCTAATATTAGCATTGGGGCAAGTTACTCCCAAGGATCTGCCCGAATCCTGCCCTCACGTATAGATGAGAATGGGGGAGACCCACATAAGGTCACAGCAGCCTGTGGGGAGATCTGAGGGCCACGCCTACACCCTCCATCACTTTGCCAGCATGTTCCTTAGGCTGTCACCCCTTCATTAAGGGTTCCTATGTTCTGTCTCAAGCTACCACTCTGTGAGCGGCCTGAGGGCTGGCTGGAGTCTGTCTTGCTCACCTGTCCCTCCAGGGCCGGCTTGCCATCCATCCTAGGCCACAGTTTTGTGTACAGCAGGTCATGTAGTCCCACTTGTCTCCATTTTATGGATAGAAACAGTAAGGCTCAGGAGGGCAAGTCCATGCCCTTGGCCACCTGGGTAGGACACTCCAGTTCTGCCTGACTGCCAGAGTTCTTAGCCAGCCTTTCCTGTATGCCATCCTGAGGCCCCTCCCTGACAGCAAGCATGTGGGTGAGCAGGCACACAAGCAAGAGTGAGGGGAGGCTCACCATTTCTCCACGAGCACCTTGCAGGCCTTAGCTTGTGCGAACAGCTGGTTCACCCGGGTCTCCTCTGTGTCAAAGTGCTTCCTGTAGAAGGACTGAAGACAGTAGGGCAGGTTGGAGGGGCTGCCTGTCCTGGCTGCCCTCGCCCCTTCTGGATGAAGTACAGGGCACATGATGGAGTCAAAGAGGGGAAGAGCCCAGTCTGCTAGGGGAGATGGCAAGTGTAGCATGCCTGGGCAGAATGCTGTGTGTGTCTTGAACCAGCAGGGTGGCTGGCCGGAGTGCATGGGACTACACGGAGGCATGAAGAGGATGCTCAGGAGATGGGTAGGCAGCTGAGCTCAGCTCCCCCAGCAAGGCTAGTCATCCCTGGGCTTGTGTACCCTGTGGGCATGAGCAGGAGTCTGTGGTAAATGAGCAAAGGGGGTGGCTGAGCCCACTCAGATGCTCCTCCACTGTTTGGCTTAGCAAGGTGAGGTCCAGGGAATATACTTCATTTGGTGTAGGAGACTGAAGGGGGTTAGAGCCCCTGTGGGGGAAGCAGGAGAAACCCTGTTCTTGGGCTCTTTTCTCTGCCTTGCAGCTACAGTGATCAAGCCAGATCCATTAGCCCTCCTCCCCTGGCCTGGAAGGGTCAAAGGAAAGTTAGGTTGACTGGCCCTGGCCACCATGTGACAACTCTCTTGCCAACGAGGCCAGCAGAGACTCTACTCTGCCAAGTTTTGGAGCCTAGGCCAACATGTGCCTCTGTAGCAGGCAAGACCGGCTGTAACTACATGGGTCGGTGGCGGGGTGGGGGTGTGCACTAGTATAATGATGAAGCTATCTTTTTCTTTTCCAAAAAGAAAAAAAAATAGGAAAGACGGTATTTCAGTTTCTCTTCCAGAATACCAATTATCCAGCTTGGAGCCATCTGTCCCTGTGACAAGGAAGAAAATGGGCAAGTGGTGGCAACGTAAGGTCAGAGTGACATGCTCTGAGGCCCTGGGCCCTGAGCGACAGGAGGGAAGGATGCAGGAAGGCAGCCTGAGATGCTCCCCTGCACATCATCAAGTGCTCTTGAAGGTAGGCAACAGGAGTCTCACTGCTCAGAAGCTTTGAGCAGGCTGGACCCCAAGGTCACCTAGTCTGGCTGGATCGAAATCCTACCCATAGAGTCTGGTCTCTGCACACCTGTGCGTCCACTCGGGTGTCCAGGCCTTGACCATACCCCCTTTCAATTACCGGACCTAGGTGAAGGCCTGGTGGCTGGCTGCCCACCTGGTTCTTGTAGCCCTTGTCGACACCCAGGGTCTGAGTGCAGAAGCGGTGCCTCACGCCAAAGTGGCGCATCAGGTAGGCCAGGTCAATGGTCCAGATGCTCCTGGTTAGCCGCAGCTCCTGCAGGGCACTCTCAAACTCACTGTCGTCCAGCGGGCCCAGGTACCTGTGGGCAGATGGGCTGCTGAGGTTGGCTTGCTTACGTGGGGAAGCTGGCTGGGGCCACCCTCCTCCCAGGGGCCCACCAGCCACTATCAGGGCTCCCACTCCCCAAAGGTTCCAGCCTTTGTCATGAAATCCTGTATCTTGCCTACTTCTTGGGCACGACCTGAGGCTGCCTGGGGTACCATGTTGGCCCCAGAGTCAAGGATTCTGCTTCTTGAATCTCTTGAAGGTTATGTAACTTTGGGTAAGTTGCCAACCTCTCAGGCCTCACCAGCTTCATCTCTAGGATGAGATGCTTGGACATCAGTGGTTTTCTAAGTTTTAGGCACAGAACCCTTTTGTTGAACACGATCTTGCCTGGAATTCCAGGATATAAAACAGGTAAGGGACAGGTTGCTCTGGGGTTCCTGGCAGCTACCTGAAAAGTCTCCTACAAGGAGATGACTATGGTGCTCTGTGGTCTGACAGTCAAGGTTCCTGTGATACTCACACAGCCTTAGTTCAACAGTTGGCTCCCTAGTGACACAGTCTTGCAGGAGCCTGAAGTTGGAACGTCCCGTGTCCCAGTGATGGGGTCACTCTATGGACCAGGCCCAGGTACCTGGGACTTCCCTGGCTATCCCCAGAACCGCTACCTAGAAGGCCTCGTCCACCCTTTGCTTGCTTTTGCAGATGGGACCAAGCCTGGATGGAAGCTGGGCCTCCTGTAAGCCCCACCCAAGAAAAGCCATATGGATGATGAATCCCACCCAGGTCTCTCCCTGTTTCTCCTTCCAGCCAGAGCAGATGGTGTGGATGGGGAGGGCCTGGGCCTGCCCACTCACCGCAACACCATCTTGGAGCAGGCCAGGCCACAGTCCCAGTGGTAGAGCTGCTGGATAATGGGCACAGGCAGCTGCACAAAGTCTCCTGCGTGGAAACACAGGGAGGTCACAGACTCTTGACATTATGCCTGTCACTGCCACCCCCACTGAGGCCACCATCATTGGCTCTGTCCAGATCCTGTAGGGGCTGTTCAGGGGCTGGAAACAGCCTTTCAGGTGCCCCAACCTATTCTCCTTACAATAGCAGTAATCTCCCCAAAACACTAGTCAGAGCAGGTCAGCCCTATACAAAATCCTCCAATGGGTTGGTTCCTATATCTTAGGACAATGCCTTCATGGCTGCTGCCCCAGCACCCTCTGCCCTCTCACCTCCCCTCGTCCTCACTGGGCCGACCTCTAGGCAGAACCTTCACCTGCTGTGATCCCTTATGCCTCAGGGCCTTTGCACACCTCTTCCCCCTGCCTGAACTCTCCTGGCCTCCCAGGTGCCTGACCTAACTCCTGCCTTTGGATGTCACTTCTCCATCATGCCTAGCCCCCAACTACATGCACTCCCAGCCTTACAGGCCTCTCTTTCAGAACACTCTTTTTGGTGGGACCTCCAAGGAGGCTAGCACACAGGGCAGACACATGGGAGATGCTCAGCAGATATTCATGCCTGAATTCATGAGGCCCCTGAAGGTTTGCCCGACTCCAAAGCCCCCAGGGCCACCAAAATATGAAGTCCACAGTTAGATGGAAGGGAGACTGTCATGTAATCTGTGTATATGCAATGCTACCCTAGGTGATCTCTCAGTCTGTTCTTGCCAAACGTGTGGAAGAGTAGAAAGGGCCCAACCTCGGCATTTTAGCTCCAGCTCTGTCACAGCCTGGCTGTGGACTGAGCAACCGACTTCCTCTTGCTGGACTGAGTCTAGCTATCTCTAAAGTGGGGGACTTTGGTCTGATTCAGTCATTCAATCAACAAATATTTCCCAAGAGCCTAGTACCTGGCATGTGAACCAGAGATGTGGTGGTAAGTGACACAAACAGATTCCTGTCCTGGAAGGGTAAGAGAAAAACAGAGGGCTAGGCTGGGGAAATGGTGGGGGTGTGCCTTAGAGAGTGAGAGTCAGAGAATACAAGACAGAGGGGAACAGCACGCTAAGGGAGGACCAGCTGGAATGTGGCCTACTGGAACCTCCTACTCTGGGAGCCCATGAATCTGGACAAAGTTCAGAGTCTGAAGAAATGGGAGGGACGTCCCTTCAGCAATCATCACCCACTGCTCATTCATGACACTCCTTCAGCATGTGAAAACGCAGCCCACGTTGTTTGCTCATCTTGGGGGGTCTCTGGGGTCTCTCTTGAACCCACAATTTGCCTGTGCAGAGTGCCCCAGAAGCCGACTTGCCATGCCAGCCCTGGCTCCCACTGCAGGGAGCAACCAGAAGGGCCCTGATGTCTGTCCTGGCCTTTCAACCTGCTGGCCCTGTCTGGGCAGTGTCTTGCCTGGAGTGAGTCCCAAGCTCCTACTCTCCTATGTCTAAACCCTCCCCAGCCTTCAAGGCCTGGCTCAGATGCTACCACTTCTGGTGCCTTCTCTGATCCTAGGCTGGCCACACCCTTTCCCTCATCTGCACTCTGCTAGGCCAGAGTTCATGCTCTGGTTCACAGGAGAGGACCCTTGCATTGAGTTTGTCTGTGTCCTGCTGAGCTGTTGTACATTCTCAGGATGCAGGGACCTGTGACTGCTCCTTCACTGCCTTATACTGGCCTTCCCCCCTCTATTCCCCACCTCCAAGGGCATGAAACAGGGCCTATGGATGGCAGGATGGCATGGGTGAGTATAGGCCACCTGCTGGCTGAGTCACTTGAGGAGAGGCACTTGGCCTCTCTGTGCCTGCTTCTTCCTCTATGAAATGGACCGCCACAGATGCGAGCCTGCAGAGTGCTATAAGCACCCAGGGCACGAGCATGTTGCAGGTGCTGACATGAACCCTGCGCTCCATCTAGAGGGCCCTGGCGCCCTGAGCCCAAGTGGGCTGAGGCTTTGTTCCCTCCTTCCCCTGACCCCAGATGCCTCTAAAAGGAACCCAGGCTATCATTCGAGGCCTTCCCACATTTGCCTCTTCCCACTGTCTTGGATTCAGTTCTGAGGGCTCTGTCCAGCCTGACTTCTGCTTAGCCTCTGTCCTAAATTCCACCCCCAGCTCCTCTCCCATCTGTACATAGTAGCCAGAGGGATCCCAGTCCCAGTCTCCCATTTCTCTTGGAATAAAGTTGTCACTCCACACCATGGCCTGCAGGGCCCTGCCCACCCCAGGCCCCACCACCCTCACCTTGGCCCTTACATCTCACTCACTCAGTTCCAGTTACTGCGGGAAACCCATCAGGCTTCACTGTACAGCTGCATGTACAGCCGCCTCTGTCTGGAACTTTTTTCCCTTGCAGATCTCAAGGCTGCCCCTTTTTGTCATTCAGGTCCCAGTCATCACTGGATGTTCCTCCTCTGAGAGGCTATTTTCTGACTATGCCTTTGCGGGGAGAGGGTCCCCCCTTCCCAGCATCCCGTTTGTTTCTTTCACAAAGTACTTGGCAAAATTAATGAGAAAAAGAAAAAATAAAATAGAGCTACTCTGTCTCCCCACAAGACTGTAAGCTTCCTGAAGACAGAGAATTTGCTAATCTTGGTCACTGTTATTCCCAATGCCTAGTATCTGATGCTTAGCAGTAACTCAACAAACATTTGTTAGAAGAAATGAACCTTTTTTTTTTTTTTAAGAAATAAAATTATTAGGCACTCAGTGTGTGCTATGGTTTGGGGACACTAAAGATGACTAAGTCCAGGGCGCCTGGGTGGCTCAGTTGGTTAAGCGACTGCCTTCGGCTCAGGTCACGATCCTGGAGTCCCAGGATCGAGTCCCGCATCGGGCTCCCTGCTCAGCGGGGAGTCTGCTTCTCCCTCTGACCTTCTTCCCTCTCATGCTCTCTCTCTACCATTCTCTCTCTCTCTCAATAAATAAATAAAAATCTTTAAAAAAAAAAAAAAGATGACTAAGTCCCAAGTCCTGCCCTCCACATTCATATTCTAAAATAATTCCCCCCGATGGGCTGAGTGGAGAGAGAGCTCTATGCAAGGTACTACTCTCTCATGATGGAATGCCTCCCTTTTCAAGAATCCTTCACTGTGGCCATAAACTGTCTTTCTGTTTCTCTCTACACAGGCTATTTACTCCCCAGTCTTTGCTCTTGCAGATCCCTTAGTCTGGAATGTTGTCTCCCATCTGTGAACAGCCAAATGCTCTGGTCTCTTTCCCTCTATGAGCCCTTCAATATGAGTATTTGAGGGGATCGTGCCTGCCTTCCCCACCGGACAGACAGAATATCTCAGTGGCAGGCAGGGACAGGGCTGCGTGTGCCTTGCCCCAGCCCTTGGACCAGAGCAGGCGATCAGACATGCTTGATGAATGGAAGGTGTTTTTCCAAAAAGGCCTTATCCCTTGAGATGCCCAGGCCTACTTGTCACAATAATGCCCCAACCCCTCCCCCAATTTCCCCCACTCCGGCTTCCAGACTACAGCCCCTCTGTTCACGGCTCCCTCCTTACTCTGCAGCCTGGGCTCTGGCACCAGCTAGCTGGGTCATCTTAATGGCCAGGCTTTGTCTCTGTCTGTGCCTTTCCCTATTTCCAGGTGTAAATGTGGCACAGGACAGCAGCTCCCTAGGGTCTTTGTGAACTCCACTGCCCCTTCTCTTCTTGCCCTGATCCTAGAACCCCTTGATTTCCAGGCCCTGCAAGGCTAAATACTCCCACGTGGCCATCCCCAGTCTTGGCATGGGCAGGTCAGCTCACAGGGATCCAGAGATACTCCTGTGGGGGGCTGATAAGGGGAGGGAGGGCCTTCCAAGCCCAGAACTACTGCCAGATGTTGATGCCTGGAGCCAAGGGACTGTCCCACCTAAAAGTAGGGTCTGCCTGTAAGGCCCTGGCCTGGCTTCAGTTGGCAGCTGTTGTCCAAGAAGGCAAGCCCTGTATACTTAACTCTATCCGTTCATGTGCAAAAGTGCAAGTAACAATGGTAACCTACTTTACAAAAGGGTCCTTATGAGGATTAATGAGGCATTGCATGTAAACAACTTAGCACAGTGTCCACTCATGGAAAGCTCCCTATGACTGTGAGCCATTACTTCACTGGGACTCAGGAAAGGCAAATGTCTGGTCCAAGATCACAGAGTTAGATAAGCGGAAGAGTAGGGATGCAAATGCCAGGATAGCATCAGACCCTATGCCCTGCTGCATTCACAAGAGACCACTCCCTGGGTGTCACACCAAGGTCCCTGATGTCTTAGGGTGGGGTCCCACATGCTCTTGACCTCTCCCATGAGTTGGCACCTCACTTTAGAGTTTACTAGCACTTTCTCTTTCTCATCAACCGCGAGAGCAGGAATCATTCCTTTCCCCCTCCCCCACTCAGAGAGGCAAACTGAGGCCCACAGGCACTGAATGTCAGTCTCGGTTTCTGCCCCAAAGGAACTCAGGCCACCTGGGGGCAGAAGGAACCCGAGGGTCAAGAACCACAGCAAGACAAACCGCTAAGTCTGGGAGGCCAGGGTAAGGGGCACATCCATTGCTCTATGCTCTCAGCCAGTTTCCTGCCCTTCTAGGCCTCAGTTCCCCCATAGTTCCCCGGAGGGGACGCGGGATTTCCTAAGGCGCTCCAGCAGGACTTTTCCCTTCTGGGCAAGGTGCCGCCCTTGCACCGCAACCAGGACCCTCCCACCATGACCGCTTTCAAGAGCTGACTGGAGTCCCAGCCCTTGGAGTATCAGGAAATCCCAAGGGACCCGGGCTGGGGGTTGAGCGGGCAAGGCGGGAGTGTACACCTGGCCAGGTATCGCTCAAAGCTCTACAGCCCGGCCCGTGGCGGCGGTGGACCCAAGGTCGCGCGGCTGGACCCTGCCCGCGCTAGGGCGGGGTCCCCCTCGTTGCCCCCGGCGAAGGCTGGGCCCTCGGGGAGACACTGACCCGGCTCGAGCGGCGGCCCCGCTGCCTCCGCCTCCGTCCTCATGACCCGGGCCACGCGGGGCGCCCATGGCCCCGGCCCCGTGCCGGCTGCAGCTTCGGCTTCGACTGGGGCGGGAGCGGGGCTGGTGCGTGTCAGGTTCCTCCTCCGCCGCCGCCGCCACCGCCACCGCCACCGCGGTGGGGAGGAGGGAAGGCGGCGACAGGGCCGCCCCAAGCCCCGCCCCGCCCCTTCCAGCCTTCGGCTCGGGGCCCCGCCCCTTCTTTAAACCCCACCCCTTCGCTGGGGCTCAAAGAAGCCCCTCCCTTTCTTTTCCCCTGACTTCTATTCCTCGGGGCCCCCAGCCTCCGGATCTAAACGGGTCCTGGCCATTGGCAGTCCCGGCTTCTGGTAGCCCCGCCCCCTCCCCCCCAACTCCTCGCGCAGACACGCAGGCCCTTTCACGCCTCCGTTCCCCGGAAGCTCCGCCTCTTTGCCTGAGAGCGGCCCCCCAGCCCTGCCTTTCCATCGGCACTGGTTCCCTGGAGACTTTTCACCCTAGCGAACTCCGTCTCTGCCTGGCCGCACTTCTCTGCCAGCCTCAGGCCCAAGGCCAGGTCCTATCCGTACACCGCGGGGCTTCAGGAGACCTAACACTACTTCGACTTACTTGAGGGACGGTCGTGGGCCGGCTCCCGCTCTACTCTAAACCTGTTTCTCTATCCGTACGGTGAGATACCTCGCCTTGCTGAGGGCGCCCCTTACCTGGTGGTGCCTGGTTCCAAAGGTTAAATTGTGAGAGTAGGTCCTGGCCCTCAGCCCCCGATCCGAGGGCCCAAGCCCCAGATCCCCACCTCGCTGTCCAGCCTGTCCCCGGTGTTAGGTGCTTGGAAACGCGAGCCCCTCCCCCCACCCCCTTGACGGCCTATGGATCAGTGTTTCCGGCGGCACCTGGGTCCTGTCATCAGCTCTCTCTTCCGGGGCCGGAACTATCGTAGCCGAGTCCACGTTTCCCGACCGGCCGAGTGAGAAGGAAGCAAAAGCAAGACCGCGCTCACCACTAAGAAAAGGAAGGGGCTGGGCCTTACGCGCAGCATTTTGGGAACGCGTGGTATTCTGGGAGCGCGAGACCCGCCATTCGCTTGGCTCACGCCTTCGCAGTCTCTGGAGTAGCCGCGGCACCGGAAAGGAAGAGTAGGCCGGAGCCGGTGAGGTGAGGCCGGGGGCAGGCGAGGGTAGACCCGAAGCACCCGTGAGGGGCCTGGGGCTGGAGAAGGACGCGCTGCCGAGGAACTCTGGGAGGTTCGGGGAGGGAGAAGAGCGGGAAGCCCGGGTCAAACATCAGCGTTGCCTCACTAGTGCCTGAAAGTGAGTTCTCATTAGCTTTTCCTCAAAGTACATGCTCTTCGTTTACTGTACCTCTCCAGGCCATGTTTTTCCGAACATACAGGCAGTAGTCTTGAAATATTTCTGGTTGCCTCCTTCCCCCAAGTCCGCTCTGGGCAATCCTTTTCAAAGTTGTTTGCATCTTTGCTCCCATCCCCCTTTCAGGCACTGGTCCTCTCATGCTTTCCGTATTGTTACAGAAGCTTTATCAAGTTTCTTGCTTCTAAACTGTTTGAAAAAAAAAAATAAACTGTGTTTGATCCATTTGTAAGTGCTGCTGCCTTTTTATTGGATCATTCCTTACCCATAATCCTGCAGTAGTTCCCCCGCTGTCTTCATTATAAAAGCCAAACCCCTAAGCCTACTTCCTCACCGAGGGAATCTGTCCTTCCCAATGTCATGTTTCCTTTCCAATCTTGAACACAAATGATGTGTCCCAACCTTCATTTGTTGCTCATCTGGGAATATGAAATCTGCTTGTTTCTTTTATTTACACGAGATCAGGTGATTTCCCTGATGATGTTTTTCCTCCAAACATTTTCTGCTTATAACACGTTGTCCCTTTGTGAACACTTTATTTTCTATTTAACCTTGAAGAAGTGGAGGGTCAGTGGGTCGAATTAAATGCACAGCCTCTTCTAGATTTGCCTGGATCTTTTGGTCTATATCTGTATTGCCCAGTACTTTAGCCACTAGCCGAAGGCCATTGACCTCTTGAAATGTGGCTAATGTGATTTATTTCACTTTAGTTTAAGTAGCTACGTGTGGACTGTGGCTACTGTATTGGACAGCTCAGGTCTATATCATGGGTTCTCAAAGTGGTGTCATCCACAACTATGGGTTGGCATGTACATCGTGTGGCGTGTACATTTCAATCCCCGTCCCCAACACACACAATATTGGTTACCGGTTATTTGATGAAGATAAAGAGGCATATGGGAGCAGGGAGGGAGATGGAAGGCACTTTCTTCTCATCCCATTACCTTTCCCTCTCTCTAGCCCCCCCCATTCTTCACCATCCCACATCTTGCATGTATTTGCCAGATGAGTTCCTCAAACTAGGAGTTAAGCTTTTTTTTTTCCCCCTGTGGAAAATGGCAGCTTTGGCATTCTTACTAAATTCTATGGAGTGTCAGGCCTTAAGGGAGTTATGATATGTGCCACATGACTTCCTAGGCCCTAAAGGATGAACTAACTGTTGTCTCTCTCACTGTAGAGCTCTTTTCCTGCCAAGATGTCTATTGGTGTGCCGATTAAAGTCCTACACGAGGCTGAGGGTCACATCGTGACATGTGAGACAAACACTGGTGAGGTGTATCGTGGGAAGCTAATTGAGGCGGAGGACAACATGAACTGCCAGGTATCCTGCTTTTCACATGAGGTTATGGGGGAAGCTTGGGCCTCTGTCTTGGAGCACAGAAAGATAGTGATTGGAGGTCTTTTTGAAGTTCTCCTCCTTGAACAGTTATTTATGGAGTGCCTGATGTGTGCCATGCGCTGTTATAGTTGCTGCTGATATGGGCATAAATAAGAGCTCTTTAGAAGTTTGTTTTCTCCATCCTATGATCATCTTCTATATTTTGGAGACTTGTTTAAAAGAAGTGGCACTATTCCCTTCAGTAGAATCTGTCAGGTTCAGGGCCATTCTTCATTTGCCCCTACATGTTTGTATAACTGCTTTGCCCACTTTCCCTAAGAGTGGAATCTTCCACTCACATACCGTGTTTATTTTCCATCTTTCTTGGAAGAGGAGTCTCATTTGATTATAGCAACAACCTTATGAGGTAGACAGGTTCGGTGATAGTTTTGTCATCCATAAAATAGGGAGAATACGATTAAAAGACTTCATCTACTGAATGTCCTTCCGCTAACAAATATTGGAACAGCTTCCTCATACTGTGCCCTTCCCATGGCACTCTTTTGCATTTTGCTAATAATCACATGAGTTTGTATAGCATTGCTTTGGCAAGGTGTATCAGCACACTTTCTCCTTTGTTCTTTAAATCATCAGTTAAGAACTTGGGCTTCAGAATCAGAGGTGTGGGTTTGGATCCTAATTATCTGACCTTGATCATGTTAATCGCTTCAGTTTCCTTGTCTCTACGATAGGAATGGTATTATTTTATGTCCTCTGAGACATAGTTGCCAAGGCAGAATTGTGTAAGAGATTTATTGGGGGAAATAATAATGAAGGATAAAGGAGAGGGAGTAGGAGTAGCCAGGAGAGCTTTTAGTCTTACTGGTCTGGTGCTGGGGAAAGGAGAGGGAAAAGACAAGATTGAGTGGGAAGAGCCTTATACCGCGGTGTATCTCTGAGGAAGTCTCAGCCAGCAGGAGTTGCTCATTAGAAGAGTCTAGCATGGGGCAGAAATGGCCTGGCTCTAGGATCCCCACTGTGATCACTCATTGGCTGGCAGCCTAGGGAGACAGTGGCTTCAGGTTGAATGCTGTGATGGATCCCGTAAGTGGCAGCTGGAGACTCTCAGCTCCATGCATGCCTCATAGCCTGACAACCCTTGCAGGGAGATCTGAGCAGTGCATTCTGAAGACTGCCATAGGGATAACACCCACACCCCGGGATTGTTCTACAGATCAGATTAGTTATGTATGTGGAGCAGCTAGTTTCATACCATGCACATTATACATGTCCACATGTAGTTTCTCTTAATGTTTTCTAGGTGAGAAAACCGAAGGTCAGAAAGGGAAGGTGACTTCCCTAAGATCACACTGCAGATCAGGTGTCCTATCTGTTGCTTCGCAGGGTTCACATATTTACTTGCGATAGCTCTATAGCTTTGAGCATCATCTTCCTGCCAGGTTGACCAGTGGGGCCAGTTCCTGCACTCAGGGAGATAGACATCTAGTGACTGTGCAGGTTTCTCTCTTCAGTGTTGATGCCATACAGGTAGATGGTGTGGGGTTTCTGAAGGTCCTGTGGGGCTTTGCATACCTTGTCTTTGTGAGGCATCCCTGTCATAGATCCAGTCCTCTGGTTTAAGGCATCCTTATCCATTTTAAGGTATTTTATTTTGGTGAGTAGAATGCAAGACTGGGGGTAAGGCACCTTAATGTGTTTGTTTGGCTATTTTTTTGGACAACTTACTGAGTTTTCAGGGCCTCATACTGCCCATTTGTAATGTCTGACCAGATGACCTTGGTGGTCTCTCAAATGTAGCCTGTGTGATATAAAGCACACAGCCTGGTGATAGATCTGGAATCAGGTTGCAGCCTGCTACCTTGTGTGACGTGGGTCCAGCTTTGGACCTCTGTCACCCTCTGTTCCCTCCTTTTTTTTTTTTTAAAGATTTTATTTATTTGACAGAGAGAGACACAGCAAGAGAGGGAACACAAGCAGGGGGAGTGGGAGAGGGAGAAGCAGGCTTCCCGCCGAGCAGGGAGCCCAATGTGGGGCTCAATCCCAGGACCCAGGATCATGACCTGAGCCGAAGGCAGACGCTTAACGACTGAGCCACCCAGGCGCCCCTGTTCCCTCCTTTCTAAGTCAGGAATAAAAATAACACCTCAGCCTCAGTATTATAGTGCAGAATAAATGAGTGAATGCATGTCAAGTGGGGGGAGCCAGTCACTTGCTTCCCGCTTACGTTAATCTGCTAGGGCTGTCATAACAAAGTTTCACACTGGGTGGCTTAAACAAGCATATTTATTCCCTCAGGGTTCTGGAGGCAAGAGGTTTGAGATCAGGGTGTCACAGGGTTAGTTCTTCTGAGGGCCATGAAGGAAGGATCTGTTCCAGGCCTCTCTCTTTGGCTTGTAGATGGCTCTCTCCTTCCTGTATCTTCACATGGTTTTCCTTCTGTGTGGATCTGTATCCCGATCTCTCATAAGGACACAAGTCACATTGAATTAGGGCTCAGTTACCTCTGTAAAGATCCAGACTCTAAATATGGTCACATTGTGAGATACTGGGGGGTTAAGACTTCAACAGAAGAATTGGAGGCAGTTAGGATTCAGCCTATAACACTGCCCATGCCCAGATGCTGAGGCTTTGCTGGATTTACCTAAGTCTGGTTCACTGAATAAAAACCAGCAGGCTAAGGCAGAGCTGAATATATTGCGGTAAGCCCAGCACAGTTCATTCACACATCCCCAGGATGCGTAAAGCCAATGGCTCCTGCAGTTCCCACTGCTTTTCTTCCTTCCTGGCCCCAGTTAGTCTGCCCTTTGGGGGTGAGAGCATCCCCTTAGCACTTTCTAGCCTTTGCTAGAGGACAGCTGGAGTTTAGTGTTTGCCATTCGATGTTGGGTTTTAATAACTTTTGTTTTTTCTAAAGATTTATTTATTTATTTTAGAGTGGGGGGAGGGGCAGAGAGCGAGAATCCTGAAGCAGACTCCCAACTGAGTGTGGAGCCCAACACAGGGATCGATCTCACGACCTGGAGATCATGATCTGAGCTGAAATCAAGAGTCAGCTGTCCAACCAACTGAGCCATGTGGCTTTCTTGAGCTGGTTTTTGTCTATAGCAGAGATGGGACCTGATGGAGGAGTGTATCACATCTCTTGCCCAGCCTGGATATGGATGATCTAAAGCCAGGGGTCCCCAAATGGGGAAGTTTCTGTTCTTGGTTTTGTGTACTTAACATGGTTTTGAAGCATCCTGTTTTTATTAAATGTCAGCGAGGGAATGAAGGGATTTTTCTTCAAAATGGAAAGTATATATATTTCTTAAGCATACTTCTAGTCAAATATTTGGTAAAATATTAAAAACCAAAAAGGAGCTTTAAGGTGAGGAATTATGAGTAGAAATAAGCACATTATTTTTATTTTATAGACTAGCCTATATTTATGTAACCTTTTGGGGGCAACTTTTATGACTATGGATTTTATTAGGTATCCAGTGTGAAGGGTCCCTGGAGGTTCTTTGTAGCGTCTTGGTGAATGCTAGAAGTGTTCTCCGGGCTTGGCAGTATTCAGACATTTAGGACGTCTCATAATTTTTTTATGATGAAAGTTTATTATATTTAAACATATAAATAAAAGGGCCCCTGGGTGGCTCAGTTGGTTAAGCGACTGCCTTCGGCTCAGGTCATGATCCCAGAGTCCCAGGATCGAGTCCCGCATCAGGCCTCCTGCTTAGCAGGGAGTCTGCCTCTCCCTCTGACCCTACCCCCTCTTGTGCTCTCTCACTCTCTCTCAAATAAAATAAAAACCTTTTTTTTTTTTAAGATTTTATTTATTTGAGAGAGAAAGAATGAGAGATAGAGAGCATGAGAGGGAAGAGGGTCAGAGGGAGAAGCAGACTCCCTGCTGAGCAGGGAGCCCGACACGGGACTCGATCCTGGGACTCCAGGATCATGACCTGAGCCGAAGGCAGTCGCTCAACCAACTGAGCCACCCAGGCGCCCTAAAATAAAAACCTTTTAAAAAACAAAATAAAAAATAAACATATAAATAAAAATTAAAAATAAACATATAGTTTTTGCAAGTCAAAAATGTTAATTTCCCAATTAAAAGTGGACCCAAGTCATAAAATGGCTAATTAACAAAAAAGAAAAATATGTAAAGCGGACATTTATCATACAAAAATAATGGTCTTATTAATATTTAGACGTGCAAATTGGGAAACAGTAAGAATTTCTAAACTTACAAGGTGCCAAAATAAAATTAGTAGTTCTACCAAGGGTTCCTTACTAGTCTACCAGTAGAAGTATAGATTGTTAAATCCTTTCTGGAAAACACTTAATATACGTCAACATAGAAAAGTTCTGCCCTTTGGTGCTGTAGTTCTACTTCTAAAAATTGTTTTTAGTGCAGGGCTGTTTTTTTTTTCCCCCCCTTAAGATTTATTTATTTATTTTAGAGAGAGAGAGCACGAAGGTGGGGAGGCAGAGGGAGAGGAAGGGAGAAAATTCCAAGCAGACTCCCGGCTGAGCATGGAGCCCATGCAGGACTCGATCCCTCAACCCCTAGATCTGACCTGAGCTGAAACCAAGAGTCAAACACCTAACTAACTGACAGAGCCACCCAGGTGCCCCTGCAGTGCAGTTTTTAATGATGAAAACCTAACAGCAAACATTCCTAATGAGTTAAATAAATTATGATTAAACAAATTAGGGTACATTACAAAGAATATTATTTATCCAGTCAAATAACATGGAAGAATATTTAACGTCATGGGAAAATGCTGTTAGAGCTAAGTGGGGAAAAATATAAAACTCTACGATATGTTCCCAGTTTTATAAAAATAAAGCCAAATTATAAGTGATACATAAAAAATGCATTAAGTTTTTGAGCAAAACCAAAGTGAGTCGTTTTCTTTTGGTGGAAATTAAATGGGATTAAAAACATTTTTATATATATGAGGTTTGGCTCGCAAGGCAGGGAGTCTTGTCGTCCCGCT